TTTTTTTTTTTTGGGGGGGGGGGGGCTCCTGCTAGTTCTCAGTATTTTGACACATTGTTTCGATGTCATTTGAGCAATGCAGGAGAAGGAAAATTAGCCTGTGGCCATCCTTTTGTACTACGTGCCGGAATAACAGTTACGTCAAACGAAAATGACTACTCCCCCTTCCCCAAAATACAAAATTCCCCATTAAGTTTCACATTGTTAGAGGACTAAGCCATACGGGTTTGGAGCTACTTTATACTTTAAAATAAAGATACAACAGGGTAAAATCTTATATCTAAAGGTATAAAGTTATATCCATCTTGGATACTGACTGAAATAAAAAGGACTTTCTTCTGCCTCTCTAGTTGGATCGAATAGTCAAATAATTGTGGAGATAGAAAGTAAGAAGTGTTCCTGTTTAGAGGTCTGCTAAAAACTCTAGCTTTACTTGCATATAAAAGGCAGTGGCCTGTAGCACATTAATGGGCTACAAGTTGGACATGGACAGATGTTCATAAGCAGTTTGTTACAGCTCAGCAAGTGACTTCTGCTAAGCTAAGGCATCACTTTTGTGGTCCTAACTTTTTGGCAATATGAAGTGGAATATGGTGGCTTAAACCACCGTGTTGAGGGTTAACACCAGTTTCCTCAGCTGAAACTGTGCAAAACTTGGGTTTTTTTCTTCTTCTTCGGATTAGGAATTAATAGAAGTGCTGGCAATAAGGGTCTTTAGAAGCAATGTCCAGGTGAAAGCAGTAGGACACTGTACAGCCTGTGGAAAGGTAAATGAGCATAATCTATAACATATATCAGTGATCACTAATACTCGAGATACTCTGCCAGACCAGGGCAGCGCTGTATGCCTGCAATCCCTGCTGAGCTGCACATGTGTTTGTGTGGATTGAGGTACACAGAGCTACATATTTGTGCTTAGATCCATGGCATTTTACCCAAAATAAAACTGACTGCTCCTACTTTCAAAGCCCAAACCAAGGAAAAAGCATTATAAATACCAGAAAGTTAAATGTACATATTTTTCTATCACTTTTAATTAATTACAGGCTCCAGATACAGCTGATTTTTCTATACGGTTATTTTCTTGAAACATTCTTTTTAAATCGTTTGGGGCTATTCTTCAAAATATGGCAATTGTCAGGTAAGAGCAGGCTAGGTTATAAATGGTTTTGGAAACAATACATCAAATTGTAAATTACTTTATTGCTTTAATGTAGAAATAATTGCTGAGTCTGTGGTAACCAGTTAGTGATGGTGAGTTAGTTGTGCATCTCAAATGATCTGAAATAATTAGAGATTACTGTTTAGTCACAAATAATGTTGACCTGAGTGCTGACTTCTTTTTTAGCAGGACTGCAGTGCTGTTGGAAGATTCAGTTGATGAAAAATATCTGACCCCTAAAGTAATGAAGCTTGCAACTAATGTGCCATTAAATCGCGTGCTGCCTGCTGTTGCCGTTTGCCAGCTGAAACACCAAGCCCTGAGTATTACAGGATGCTCGTCCAGAACTACGTTCCTTGGGCAGACCACCAGGCCTGGTCTGCTCTTGTTTGGACCCTGGACAAAAGACGGAGAAGCTGAGAGTACTTGAAACGTTGCCTGGGAGATGTAGCCGTGAAATGCAGCACTAGAATGAGTATATTGCCACCACATGGCTGTTTCTGCTACCTGCACCCGTGTCTACTAAACCAGTCTGTACTTTTGCCCCTGCACTGTGCTGGCGCAGAGGTCCCGATGGACCCAATTTTTGGGGGGATGAACTTCAAGCTTCCCCTCAAAGGATTTAGGCAGGAAAGAAATGGGACACGTGTGCAGAGAGCTTGGGTTGCAAGTGCTTTGCAGGAACGTGGAAATGCTTTCTGGGACTGAAGGGATCTGGCTTGGGGTATGGGTGATTGGCTTTGGGATGTGATGGCCCACTGTCCTG